ACCAAATCCCCTCAATTTTAGCGGAGAAAAAGGCGGTAGGTCTCGCGCTTGACCCACTCACACGTGGTATCAGAGCCCGGCTCCGGCATCAAAGGCACAACCGTCTTCGGAGAAGATGAGCTCGGGATCGACTGCAGGGATCTTCATGGCAGATGGGTTCTCACAAACCCGCCCTCCAAGGTTTGAAGGTGTTCACTATGGCTATTGGAGAAATCGAATGGAGCTGTTCATCGGATCAACTGATCCATACCTATGGAACATTGTTTTGGATGGTCCTCTGGAAGTAAAGGAAGCCCGCGGAAACTGGACCGAGATAGACAAGAGGAATTTCCAGCTCAATTCGAAGGCTACGAACCTCATGTACTGCGCACTGGGACTAGAGGAGTATCACAGGGTGACTGGCTGCAAGTCTGCTAAGGAAATTTGGGACAAATTGCAGATCGCACATGAAGGCACGTCTCATGTCAAGATTTCGAGGATAAACAGTCTTAAGCAAGAGTTCGAGTCATTCATCATGAAGCCTGAAGAATCAATCAAGGAGATGAATGATCGATTCACCACGATTGTAAACAGCCTGAGAAATTTGGAGGTAGAATATGCCAGTGCCGATTTGGTTCGCAAGGTTCTTTGGGCACTTCCAAAAAAATGGACGCCAAAGGTCACTGCAATTGAGGAATCCAAAGACCTCACCAAACTCAGCCTGGATGAGTTAATTGGTTCCTTGATTACTCACGAAGACAAGTTAAGAAGAGAAGAACTAGAGGAAACCAAGAAGGAAAAGAAGGGAATAGCATTCAAAGCCACCACTCAAGAAGATGAATTAGACTGCTTGGATGAAATGGAAGATGAGGAACTAGCTATGCTAAGCAAGCATGTGGCAAAACTTCTAAAATTTCGAAGAGAAAAGAAACGAGGAGGATTTCCAAACAGATCGAGGGAAGGTGAAGCTGACCGAGAAAGCAACAAAGGGGGAAGACAGGGATTCAGAAATCGAAAGGAAGGAACGAGCAATGAGAAGTCTCAATCTCAAGCTGGCTGCTTCAGATGTGGGAAGACAGGGCATATTAAAGCCGAATGTCCACTAGGCAAAAAGGAACGAGCTTTTGCAGCAACTTGGAGCTGCAGCGAGGAGGATGTAGATGATGATGAAGCCACTCCAAAGTTCAGTGCATACATGGCCATTGACCAGATTGACGAGGAAGCATCTCAGGTAAATGATTACTATTCAGAATCTAGTAGTGATGAAGATGAAATGCTTGATGAAACAATTAGAAACATTCAGAACGAGTTTGTAACTGTGAAAAACAAGTACATCTTAATTAAAGCTAGTCATGAAAACCTACAAAATGAACTTGAGCAAATGAAGATTGAAAAAACTAGGGCAGAACTCAGGGTTCAGAATCTAGTGAAAGAAAACAGTAGGTTGAAAGAACAAGTTGAGACTGCTAAAACAGAACTGTCTCAGATAAAAGGAAGGATTTAAACAAAGGTAGTATGGTCAAGAAAATCAGAGGTTCATAAGAGCCATGAATGCTTTTACTGTCATCAAACTGGTCACTACATAGCAAATTGCAGAAAACGTATTTTTAAAGAAAACAGAATGAAGTAACTTGTTCTTATCTTGCAAATATTTAAACAAAGGTAGTATGGTCAATGAAAACAAATGTTTAGAACATTCTCACTATAATTACACTAACTTAATCCACTCCAGAAAAGTTTCTAAGCTAGTATGGATACCCAAAACTAAGTAAGTGTTCTTATCTTGCAGACTTGTCTCCAAGTGGGCATGGAGGGCAGCGGTTGGATACTTGATAGTGGGTGCTCACACCACATGACTGGTAATAAAAATCTCTTCTCAAAACTAACTCTTGAAAACAAAGGAAAAGTCTTCTTTGGGGATAATTTTAGCACTGAGATACTAGGAAAAGGCACAGTAGGTACTGTTCCTTCTATAAGTAATGTGCTACTAGTAAAAGACTTGAAGCATAATCTCTTATCTATTGGACAGCTCTGTGGAAATGAAAACAGGGTGGTTTTTGAACAAAACAAATGTTTTGTAGAAAATATAATAAGTAAAAAAACTCATACTAACTGGTAACCGAAAAGGAAAACTGTTCTCAATAAATCTTGAAGACAAGGCTGCTTTCAATGAGACTTGCCTTGTCTCGATTGATAAAAATGATCAATTTGAATGGCATAGAAGACTTGGACACATAAGTATTGGAATTTTGTCAAAATTGGTCAATTTGGGAATAGTTAGAGGAATTCCAAAACTTCTAAGCAAAAAGGAATTCTTTTGTGATGCATGTGCAAAAGGAAAACATTCTAGGTCCTCTTTTAAAACCAAACCAGTTATTTCTACATCTAGACCATTAGAACTTCTTCATCTAGATTTGTTTGGTCCTAGTAATGTCATAAGCACTATTCCTTTGTAATTGTAGATGGCTACTCAAGGTTCACTTGGGTACTATTTCTAGCTTCAAAGGATGAGGCTTATCAAAACTTCAAAGACTTTGTTAAACGTGTAGAAAATGAAAAACAATCAAAGATAGGAAGCATAAGAAGTGATCATGGAGGTGAGTTTGTGTCTAAAAAATTTTAAATGTTCTGTAACAAAAAGGGGATAACTCACAACTTCTCTGCACCCAGAACTCCTCAACAAAATGGGGTGGTAGAAAGAAAGAACAGAACCTTAATTGATATAGCTCGAACAATGCTAAATGATTATGGAACTGCAAAACAATTCTGGGCAGAGGCAATCAATACAGCTTGTTATGTCACCAACAGAGCTCTCATCGGATCTAAGCTTAATAAGACACCTTATGAACTCTGGAAAGACAGGAAACCCAATTTAAGTTACTTTCATCCTTTTGGATGCAAGTGTTTCACCTTAAACACCAAAGATCACTTAGGAAAATTCGACTCAAAGTCAGATGAATCTATTTTCCTTGGTTATGCTATTAACAGTAGGGCTTATCGTGTGTTTAATAAACGGACCCTCAAGGTTGAGGAGTCCGTCCATGTGATATTTGATGAAACATTAACTAAGTGTGCAGATAGTGTCGATGAGGATGATGATTTAGGGTTGGGAATAGTTCACACAAGTCAGGAAGCTCCTGAGGATCAGGAAACAGAAGCTGTGCCTTCTGAAGGTGGGAAAATGAAAGAAAAGGACAGCAACCCTCAGGCACCACCTCATATAGTTCGACGACATCCCCCATCCCTCGTCATTGGAGACCTTAGTCGAGGTATGCTCACTCGGTCTAAGTCTTATGCTGAGCACACTGCTTTTGTAGCTCAATTTGAACCTAAATGCATTAAGGATGCAATAAATGATGAGTACTGGTCAGCAGCTATGCATGATGAAATGAACCAGTTTGCTAGGACTCATGTTTGGGACTTAGTTCCTAGACCTAAGGACAGAATAATCATTGGAACCAAATGGATTTTTCGAAATAAAACTGATGAACTTGGAATCATAATTAGAAACAAAGCTAGGCTAGTAGCTCAAGGCTACTGTCAGGAAGAAGGGGTAGATTTTGAAGAAACTTTTGCACCTGTAGCCAGGTTATTAGCCATACGTCTTTTGTGTGCTTTTGCTGCCTCTAAAGGCTTTAAGTTGTATCAAATGGATGTAAAAAGCGCGTTTCTAAATGGTGAAATAAAAGAAGAAGTGTATGTCTCTCAACCTCCTGGGTTTGAGGACTCAGAACACCCTGATTATGTGTTTAAACTAAATAAAGCTTTGTATGGACTCAAGCAGGCTCCTAGAGCCTGGTATGAGAAGCTAAGTAATTTCTTAATTGAAAAAGGCTTTCATCGTGGACAAGTTGATAAGACTCTGTTCATTAAAACTGAAAAAGAACACACCCTGCTTGTTCAAGTCTATGTCGACGACATAATCTTTGGCTCCACGAGTCAAAAATTATGCTCTGAATTCGAAATGACATGAAGAATGCCTTTGAAATGAGTCTTATGGGGGAATTAACATACTTTCTTGGACTACAAGTAAAACAAACCAATCACGGAATCTTCATTAGTCAGTCAAAATACTTACAGAACAAGTTAAAACGTTTTGATCTCAACAATCTAAAAGCAGCCTCAACCCCCATGGGATCTTCTGTTAAATTGACTTCTGATGAATCTGGAAAATTAGTAGATTGTAAGAAATTCCATGGAATGATTGGTTCTCTCTTATATCTCACTGCAAGTCGCCCTGATATTATGCATAGTGTATGTGTGTGTGCACGATTTCAGGGTAATCCAAAGGAGAGTCATTTCTCTGTTATTAAACGAATTTTTCGTTATCTAGTAGGGACTCCCACTCTAGGTCTCTGGTACTCCAGCACTTCCAGTTTAGATTTGATCAGTTACAGTGATTCTGATTATGCTGGATGTGTAGTTGATAGGAAGAGCACCTTAGGTGCTTGTCATTTTCTAGGCTCCTCTCTCGTGTCATGGTTCAGTAAAAAGCAAAGCTCAGTGGCTCTATCTACTGCTGAAGCAGAGTATATTGTTGCTGGCTTCTGCTGTACTCAATTAACATGACCAAAAACCCAATCCAACACTCCCGAACCAAGCATATAGAGGTTCGTTACCACTTTATCCGAGATCTGGTCCAGGAAGGAAAAATTCACCTAGAGTTTGTAGGAACTGATTCTCAATGGGCTGACATATTCACCAAACCCCTGTCCATTGATAAATTCTTACCCATCAGACGCGAACTTGGTATGTTTACTCTAGAAAAAATATTGGAAATTCTTTAGGATTCTGAGCCCTCTCACTTTCCTTAAATTCTTCTAAAGAGTGTCCATTAAGTCACTATCTTCTCTGTCCCGGATAATCAGCAGTCATCTGCTGGATATCCAATGGATTCGTAAATCAAGAGTGATTCACTTACCCTACCCATCCTTGTAGAGACTCTATAAATTCAGAAGGATGCTGTCGACAAGCCACACTCTCAAAAAACTTACCACACATACCCCTCTCAAAAACACACCATGTCCTTTAACAATGCTCAACGCCGCCCTGTTGTGGTGTTCAAAAATCAAGGCTTTCGCAACGCCATCGTGTACTCAAGGTACCTTCGCTGCTTTCGTGATCGTCCCATTTATCCATCCTTTACCATCTCTCCTTCAGCCTTCTCCAAATATGACATGGACATTCCATCCCTGGTTGCTGGACTAGGGTGGGAATCATTGATTGAAGATCAACGGGTTCTTCATTGTCCTGAAGCAGTGAGGCTTTTCTACGTGAATATCCGTCGTGATCGTGGACCTGAGCCACAATCCTTCACCACCATGGTCTGTGACCATGAAATCACTGTCACTCCTACCTTACTCGCTTCGGTTCTCTCTCTACCTCACTCTGGGATTCACGCCTGCTACGAGAGTGACTTTGTTGAACATGGGTTCGACTTCTGTGCTGCTCTTGACCGACTGACCAGGGACATTGGCAAGGCCTTCCCCAATCGACTCTCAGCTGGTCGACTTCCTGACGACCTAAAGGTCCTTCATTTCTTCATTACTCGATGCTTCCTTCCCAGAGATGTTGATAGTGCTGGTCTTCTCCACTCTAATGATCTCTGGATTCTAAGTAATGCTTGTGCCCGTCAACCAATCAATTATGCATCATTGATGTTCGCTCACATACTCAAGTTTGGTGGTGGCGGTTACAGTGGTGCTCTACCCTTTGGACCCCTCATCACTCGCTATTTGCATCGCATAGGTATAGATCTCCGGGATAAGGTGGCTGTTTGCAACATCCATGATGACTTGCGCCCCAATCATGTTCTTGTTCGACTTGATGCCAACGTGGGCCGCCGTAAGCTCGTCACTGGCTAAGGGGGAGACACTGCCCACTGCCCCATTTTCTCTCCTGCTGATCCCATCTCTGACAACCTTCTTCCAGCCCTAACTCAAGCTGCTGTCACAGCCATAGATGGTGAAGTCAAACGAAGAAGGGAAACTGGTAGTGGAAAAACTACTAGTCTTCTGGTCTGCAAAGAACGGTTGGAACTCATGGAGTTTGATGAAGCAAGGCCTGCTCCATACGACTTTGACCCAATCACTCCTGACTCAAGCTCTGATGATGAAATCTCAGACTATGAGTCACCTCCTGGATATCCCTCTAGAGATTCGATGGTGGTACTTAGGGGGAGTCACAAGTTGACTAGGGAAGTCTTGTAATTCGTTTAAGTCTGTGTATGAATGGTGTCAGTATTGAGTTGGTTTTCTTGTTGATTGATTGTTGATTTGAATTTCGAAGCTTGTATTTCGGTTGAACTGATTAATCAGGAATAAAAACTTCCCTTGTCACCTTTGCCAGCACTTTTGCATAGAACAGACTGCACCAAAAGTTTGTTGAGTGTGTGCAGGAAAGAAACTAGTGCAGTAGGAAGAGCTATTGACAAGCTTAGGGGGAGCATGTTAAGGGAAGTCGTCAATGAGGAAAGAATCAACAAATCAAATCAAGACCAAGATGGAAAGTTTCAAAGAAGGAAACCTGGAGCTAAATTACAGCAATTCAAACATCAATCAGACAACGACTACTTTGAGGAGAGCAGACTATATAATCGTGAGTTTGAGAAATGTAGAGTGTAGAGTTTTTGGGGAAAATCAAAAGAACAGAGTGCTTAGTGAAAAGTGATAATCTTTTGATAGAAAACTTGATTGGCTAATTGGAGAGAATAGCTAGTGGTACTGAGTGATCAATCAGGGAGATTAGTTCTTAGTATAGGAGTTAGGTTGGTAGGCAGGGAGCTGTTCATCCTAAACTCTGGCTTTGTACACCCGATCAAGGAAACGATCTAGTAGATTCGTAGGAATCCTCAAGAGGAGAGATTCCTACCGTGGATTAGTCGATATTGGGATCCTTCTTCTCCCAATATCCCAATATCGGATACCACGTAAAAACTGTGGTGTTGTGTCTGTGTACGTCATTTTTGAGCCTTGGTAGATTCTCTGCTTGTGTGTTTGATCTCCTTGTTCAGGTACAGGGGAGACTTCGAAGCTGGGAGGTGAGCTCGATCAAAGCAGAGAAGCAATCAGCAGGCCTGAAAGTTTAGTCAGGGCTCAAGCCCAGTTTACGTGAGAACAAACGAGTGGGCTGCAAGCCCAAAGCTGTTCCAGATAATTACATTTTTATTTCTTGTTAATTATTAGTTACTTCTATATTCATTTCTTGCACAAAATCGAAACCCTAACCAAAGAACTGAGTTCCCTCAATTGTTCAGTTACTGTGCCGATTAGGGTTTTGTAGGAACCAAATCCCCTCAATTTTAGCGGAGAAAAAGGAGGTAGGTCTTGCGCTCAACCCACTCACACTTACGATTATGGTATTCCGGTGATTCTAAGTTAGATCTAATCAGCGACAGTGATTCTGAATATGCTGGATTCATAGTTGGCAAAAAAAGCACATCTGGTACTTGTCACTTCTTGGGAACTTCTCTCATCTCCTGGGCTAGCAAAAAGCAAAACTCAAGAGCCTTGTCCACTGCGGAGGCAGAATATGTAGCTGTTGGACTAAGTTGTACACAACTTATATGGCTAAAGTAACAGCTGCAAGACTATGGTCTAGATTTAGGTTCTCTCCCTATCCTATGTGATAATACTATTGCAATTAACATGACAAAAACCCCAATTCAACACTCCCGAACCAAGCACATTAAAGTGAGATATCACTTCATTCATGATCTGGTCCAAGAAGGAAAAATCATTCTGGAGTTTGTCAACACTGAAATGCAGTGGGCTGACATCTTCAGAAAACCTCTCAGGGCAGAAAAACTCCTTCCAATTTGTCGTGAACTTGGCTTAATTAAATTCAATGATATAGAATCCCTATGAGCCATAATTCTGCGAATATAGCCTTACCTTTCTCTCAGGATTTCGATTTTGATCCTCAAGGCAGATCAAAACTTGCCTTAAAGTGTCTCCTCACTTTCCATTCTAGATTCACCCCCTCCCTCTATATATTACAACTTTTTTAGGGTTCTGCATCTCATCCATCTTCCATAGACATCCTGCCGATTTCCACTCTTACATCAAAATGGCCTTCAACAATGCTCAACTGCACCTCGCAACAGTGTTAAAAAATCAAGGGTATCACGATGTTGTTGCCTACTCTCCATACCTTCAAAGGTTTAGAGATAGGCCCATCTATCCCTCCTTTTCGATCCAACCTGCTAGTTTTAATAAATATGACATGAACATTCCCTCACTTCTCGATGGGCTCGGTTGGAGTTCTCTGGTTGAGAACATGCAATTTAGCTACTGTCCGGAAGCAGTCCGCAAGTTCTATGTCAACATCAAACGCGGTCCTGGTTGTGATCCATCCTTTTTCACGATAGTCGTGTTCAACTATGAGATCACAGTCACTCCTCAGCTTCTTGCCACTCTCCTTGATATCCCTCATTCAGGGTTTCAGGCTGGGATGGATGGTGAATTTGCAGCACGTGGATTCTCCTTTGATACTGCTCTGGAAACTCTCATAGGAGATATAGGCCGTCACTATCCTACTCCTCTTGCTGCTGGTCGTCTATATGATGACCTGGTCATCTATATCAAGAGATTTGATCACTCAAATTAGAGCATCAACGGTCGAAAAGAAGAATGTATAAAGGACAGAATCGTGGGGTGAACAACTATCTTTTTCTGAGTCTTTCAAGCAAGCTACTGAGTGCACTTGTAATTGAAAAGAAAAAGAGAGAGTTGCCAAGGAGATAGCTCGAGGGTTAGTTTGTGTGATATCAAGAACAAAGTTCTGCAGGGAGTAGAACTTTGAAGGGGTTTCTGATCAGTGACAGGGAGTCAACTAGAGATTGTTTGTTGAATTGTGTAAATCGGATACTAAACACCATAGTGAAACGCCAAAGGGTTCAAGCAGAAATCCTTTGGCCGTGGACTAGTCGATACTGATTCATCAGTATTGGAAACCACGTAAAAATTCCTTGCATCTATTTACTTTTCAGTTTTACTAATCCGGACTTTAGATAGTCTCTGTTTCTGGTTGGAACTCTGTTTTTGCATGGTGAGTTGAAGCAGGGGATTGGAACAGAGGGGGAAGAAGGGTTCAACTAATCTCGGAGTGACATGCCGCTGAAGAAAAAGGCTCTGTCTGAACCCTATTTGATATCCAGTCGAAGACCTTGGGCTTTAAGCCCAATCGTGTTTAGTTTTTATTTGTTTTATTAATTAATTCCGAAACCAAAGCTTTAAACTATTCCTATCTGGTGATCGATTTAACAGCCTCACTCGATCTCTCAATTTAGGGTTTCCAATCTTCTCAAGAGAAAATTCACACCAAGTCTCGCGCTCAACCCACCTACACTACATAGGAGGATTGTGTACGGTTCTTGTTAGGAATGAAAGAGAAAACATTAGTGTTGGAGTGAGTTCTTAAAAGAGAGCATTGGGTTTTAAAGGTAAAGTGGCAAGTGTTTAACTCTCTAGTACCCCCCTAAAAAATAAAAGAGAAAAATAAAGAAAAAGGAATCGAAAAAGAGGTAATAAAACGGGGTAAATATAGTAGAGAGTGCCACAAAAGATTTAAAGAGTATGCTCTATGTGGGGTTTCTTAGAACACAAGCCATAGAAACTCCCCACGTTGTTTTAGAACTCCTTCACTACCAAGTCGAAATGTGATAGCAAGAGTAAACCGAGGAGAGCCGCTTAAAGGTAGTTCATGATGGGTGATAGTTTGGAAGGGAGAAGCAAGGTTTTTGTTCGATGCTTGTGGCGATTATTTGTAGGGAAGAATCGTAGTCGAAACCATAGAACCTTCGAGTTTAGACTGAAGATATAGGACCTCATGATGTATTTGCCACCACCCAACAAGCCTTTTCCCCATGTCCAAGACAATTGCCAGTCATTTGAACTCGTGTCTAAGACCTCCAGACAAGCTAGTGATGACAACCGTCCCGTGAACTCTAACATTTAGAGGTTGCCACCGTGGTGAAGAGACGATAGGGCGGAGTGTCCATTATTGTGCACATTATTTGCAACAAAAAGGTCCCGACCCCACTGGTCAAGAGAGTGAGTGATTCATTCTTTCTTTGCATGTCATATCATACCCCGGTGATGAACTTTGTTGCCCATTCGTTTGTTCCTTAGATTTGAATGTCATTCATGATTAGTTTTGGTTGATAAGCGATATTGAGAACTTGCATTGATTCATGAACAAGGTGAAAACTTTTCGTTTGCCCGTTTTTGGTGACCTCGAATGTAGTTTGTGGTGGATGTCGGTATTGCTTGCAATGGTCCATGTGTTAATTTTCAATAGCCATTGAGATTCACAACATTGTGCCCTTTGATTTGTCCCCGAAGCATTTTTGTTAGGTTGAGAGATTACCATGTGTGAAATGGTTTGCTTGGGGACAAGCAAACGTCTAAGTGTGGGGGGGGGGTGATTCGGACCTAATTGTATAGTTTTTACCCCCATTTCGCTATGATGTTTGTTGCAATTGAACTCAAAAAAGGGCGGTTTTACGCGAGGTTTCTTGTGTTTCAGTGTGTTTCAGATCCTAACAGGTGAAACCAACCCCGGAGTTGAGAATTGGAAGAAAAGGAGCAAAGACCGGGCAAAGAGGAGGAGACAACCACAATTCATGGTCCGCCATTGGAGTTGACGCTCTTACAAGGCTGTGAACTGGAGTCATAATCCGTGAACCAAGGAGCGTCCAGAGAGGGTTTTGAGGTTACTAACGCCAAGGTTGTTCACGGTCGCAAGGACTGTGAATAGAAGCCCAAACCATGAACCCTAGGATGTGAAGCGGTGCATTTTGGTTCAGGCTCTTTGTTCACAGACGCATTTCGATGTTCACGACCATGATCTGGGCTTGATCTCA